GTGTGTGTGTGTTTGTGTGTGTGTGTGTGTGTGTGTGTGTGTGTGTGTTTAGTTTCTTGGTTGTGTTTATTCTTCTTTTCAGTCTGGAGTATTCCTTGAAGTATCTTCTGTAGAGTTGGCTTGGTGGCAATAAAGTCATTTAGGTTGCTTTTATCATGTGGAATTTTTAATTGCTCCTTCACTTATAAAAGCTAGCTTAGATGTGTCTAATGTTTAGGGTTGGTATTTGTGATCTTTTAAAGCCCGGGATGCATATTTCTAAAGCTTTTTGACTTTAAAATTTCATACCAAGTGATCAGCTGTTATTCTAAGAGGCCGAGTAGACTCACAATTGTCACATGTAGGCTAGTTAGACAGAGAGCCCAGTAGCTGTTCAAGATAAGAAACCAGAAGCCTCTTATAAAGCAGGATTAATTATGTCCCTCCATTAAAGGCTAAAGGCCCTTAATACCTCTGGAAATGTGCTGGTTTAAGTTGACATTCAAACACTTAAGAAGAATCTGGAGTCTGATGCCTAAGGTAGCATAGAAATAAAGGGAAAATCAAGTGGACATGAGAAGGGAAAAGAGATGCAGATGGAAAAACTGATGTAAAAAACCCTTCATTACTCTGGATCTATTTTATATCTCTAACCGGCTCAGAGTTACAGAATCTGGAATCTGACATAGCTATTCAAACTACTGCCAAGACCACCTGCACAGATTGCACTCTACTTTCTGAGAGAAATTATGCACAAAATTACTGAGATGGCTAATGAGCTATGTTTGGACTCGAGAATCTTAGACTCAAGGCATGTGTATTGACCTATTTCTGTGATCCATGTATGGTGAGAATTCCTTTAATTTTTAAAATCTATTTTCTAGCATGATAAGATTATTTCCCCCATTTGTAAGCCTGCAACTGTCCCCCACTAAATGCCTTACAATTTCATTAACCCGAGTTAAGTTCTATTGATACGGAATTAAGTGTTCCATCATATGCGGAACTTGTAGCCGTACAGATCACAGGCTAGAAAGAAGAACTTACTACTTTTATTCTGCTAAATAGACAGAGTAGTAAACTGACTCCTAACGAATTATTGTTATACTCATAGATTAATGCATCTCTCAACTTTGGCCAGTGAAGTTTCTTCCTGTAGCAGACAGTGATTAACACAGAGATTCACAACTGATCAACTTGCACAGAATAATAGACTGTAGAGTGCTCAGTCCTAAATGAAACTCTCATATCATATTCTTTCCTCCTGAAGTTGAGGGATTACTGTGGAAGAGAGGGTGAAAAGATTGTAAGAGTCGGACATGGTAGATGAATATAAAGAAACTGTGCAGTCTGGACACCAAATTTTAGTTGTACATGTGAACCCATACCACTTGTGCAGCAAACACAACTGTGCAAGCCTGAGCCAGACAAAAGCCTAGCATAGATGAGAGAGGCAGGCCACAAGCCCCAGTTCTAGCTCAGGAGCTTTTGGCAATTGATAACTTCTGGGAGAGGGAGAGTCAGTTTAATCTAGGGGATGGTGTCTGGTAGGTTGACCAGACTCTAAGGGATGGACTCACACAGAAGAGCATTTGGGGAACACAAATTAGACTCAATAGGCCTTTAAAAAAGAAAAATGATAATAGAGGACATGAAACATGAAGTGGGAGTAGTGGGGTAGAAGTAGAAATGGGGGAGGGGTTCTGTGTATGACAAAAATATAGTGTATGAAATTCTCAAGCAATCAATAAAAATATATTTTTTCTTGAAATTTTGAGAGTTCCAAACAATATATTTTGATCATATTTAGATCCCTTGTCCTATCTGCATCATTCTTTTACACCCCTCTAAGTTTACATGTACTTTGACATATATATTATGGCATATGTTCCCATATGTCCTTTGGCGTGTGTCCATCCACTGGATCCTGGTTAACCTATCTAGGTTCACACACTTAAAGAAAACCAACTTTCCCTCTGCAGGGAGTTATTTATTGCTTCAGCTAAGGTTGTGGCTTCTTATGCACTTCCCTATTTCTGTGCTAGGATTTGTCTGTAGTGTGCTCGCATGGGTCTTGTGCATTTTGTTCATGAGCCATTGTTATAAGTTCATATGCATAACTTCGCAGCTGTCTGGAAAACTCTGTTTCCTTGTGGTATTCAATCACCTCTGGCTCTTACAATTACTTTTGCATTCATTTCTGCAATGGTCACTGAGTCTTGGGTGGAAGAGTTTGAACATAGGAATAGGAGTACTACTATTAAGGGATAAGTTCTCTGCAGTCTCTTATTCTTTGCATTTTGGCCGGTTGTAGCTTTCTGGGTTAATGACCACCTGCTGCATGAGGAAGCTTCACTGTTGAGAATTGAGCGATGCATTGATATTCTTTCTGCCCTCTATCACCCTCGGTTCCCTGAGCCTTAGGAGTAGTGGTTGCATTGTAGATGTGTCACCATCACAGACACTTTACATTTGACTAGTTGTAGAACTTTGTAATAGTCACCATGTGTTGCAAAAAGAAGCTTCTGTGGAGTTCTGGCCTCCATCTAGCAAAGGGCCTGGGAACCCAGGGGCCTGCCTGAGAGGCCCCGATCCTGCCTCCACGTGGTGGTGAGCTTCCCCTAATTGGGCCATACCCATTCCCCTACTTGGATTTTGTGAGGCCCCTCCCAAGGCCCCAGGGCAGATCCGGCTTTGGTAGGCTAAAGTTGAGATCCTAGCAGACAGCCTGAGAGGGTGGGTTTGGACCCCCATCTGTGTAGCAGCTCAGATTTCAGCAGACCACCAGCAAGTGCCCAGTTCTGGCCCTCTGGCCTCCTTCTGGCATAGGGGCTGAGAATACAGAGGACTGCCTGAGAGCGCCCAGATCCTGTCTCCACGTGGTGAAGGAAGCCTGCGTGTACCTGACCTGAACCTGCATTAGGCTTCTGGGGGTACTCCTGAATAGCTGACCTGAAGCCATCTGTTCCCTCCAAAATAAACCTGAGAGAACCTGAACCTTGTACCAATCAGCTTTACATAACCAATAAAGAAAGGATCTTGGCACGCAGATAATAAAATAGAAGCATACTTCAACTTAATTCTCACATCAGAATCATAAACAACAAAATAAATTCACATGCCAAAAACCACAAAGAAAGAATAATAAAATGGAAAGCCAAAACACTATGTCCCCACCAAACTCCACCAATCCTGTAGAAGAGTTCTACAAGGAGAACCCCCTAGAGATAACCCAGGACACAGAATTTAAAAGAACAGTCATAGCCCTTCCCCGCCAGCCTCTGTCTCCTCCCAGGCACCTGGGCTTCCTGGATCCTGCAACCTGCAGCGGCTGCACACGTCCAGGACTGCACGATGACAGATCAGGCCTTTGTGACCCTGAGCACTAATGATGCCTATGCCAAAGGTGCCCTGGTCCTGGGCTCATCTTTGAAACAGCACAGGACTACCAGGCAGCTGGTTGTGCTCACAGGTATCAGATTCCATGAGAAAAGCTTTAGAGACAGTCTTTGATAAAGTCATGATGGTAAATGTCTTGGACAGTGGCAATTCTGCTCATCTAATCTTAATGAAGAGGCCCGAGTTGGGTTTCACACTGATGACGAAACTCCATTGCTGGTCACTTACAGAGTATTCTAAATGTGTGTTCATTGATGCAGATACTTTGGTCCTCACAAATATTGATGATCTTTTTGAAAGAGAAGAATTATCAGCAGCACTGGACCCTGGGTGGCCTGACTGCTTCAATTCTGGAGTCTTTGTCTTTCAGCCCTCAATTGAAACATACAACCAGCTGTTGCAACTTGCTTCTGAACAAGGTAGTTTTGATGGTGGGGACAAGGGCTTACTGAATACATTTTTTAGCAACTGGGCAACCACAGATATCAGGAAACACCTGCCTTTTATTTATAACCTAAGCAGCATTGCAGTGTACTCCTACCTCCCAGCATTTAAAGTGTTTGGTGCAAGTGCCAAAGTTGTACACTTCCTGGAACGAATCAAACCATGGAATTATACTTATGATCCCCAGAAAAAAAGTGTCAGAAGTGAATCTCAGGATCCCACCATGATTCATCCAGAGTTTCTGAACCTGTGGTGGGACGTCTTGACCACCAATGTTTTACCACTGCTTTAACAATTTGGTCTCATCAAAGATACCTGCTCATATCTAACAATGGAACATGTCTCAGGAGCCATGTCACACCTGTCCCTTGGGGAGGTTCCAGCTACACCACAACCTTTTGTGTCCTCAGAAGAACGGAAGGAAGGGTGGGAACAGGGCCAGGCTGATTATATGGGAACAGATTCTTTTGGTAATATCAAGAGGAAACTGGACACTTACCTCCAGTAGAAGCACTGCCATTTTCCTGTGGACACATCCACCTCTAAGGCACTTGTTTCTGACAGCATGTAGAGCTGGTTTAAAGTCCTTCCATTGTTAAAGAGGCTTTCACTAAAACTCATCACACGAGGGGCTGTGGCAGGACAATAGGTGAGAACTGAGCAAAATTTGTGAGGTACTATTCTGTACATGGACAGTGGTTTTTTGTTTGTTTGTTCTTTTTAACCCTAGGCTTAATTAGCCAATGTTTCAGAAACTTAATTCTGCCAATTACCAACATGCATGGTAAAGGAGGCCCAACATTAAGCTACTGAGACGGCTGTATCAACTTAAACTGTTGTAGAACTGGTCTCTAAATCTATTTCCCTTCAAAAAAAAAAGACATGACATTGTCCCTTACTTGCTTATTGCCCCCTTCACCAGACCTGCAGTTTAGAATTGCCCAAAAGCTGTCAGAGGGCTAATTCTGTTTTCAGAGAAGAGTAGCCTTTTATACACTGTAGAATGATTCATAAACATACCTACTAGACTTAGTTTACCAGTCTTCTATGTACCGTTACAACAGCACGCTGAATTGCTTTTTTTCAGTTCTGTCTACTTGAAAACCGCAGTGTGTCATCTGAAGGTTACCTGCAGTAACACACTGTGTAAAAAATAAAAGACTTATTGACAGATCTTGGTTGTTTAATTAAGTACTCCCTTATCTCACCTCTTGAAAAAAAATCAGTAATTTTTCAAAATTTTTTGTCAGTTTCAAAAAAATATTAAAGCTTCACACATTTCAAAAACATATGAAGCTTCACACAGGTACACACTTTAAAAATTGTTACTTAAGAGATTTAAACCCACTATTCTTCAGTAGTTGTGACAGGTCTGATCAATGGAGCAAAGTGAGATCAGAGTTAATCTTTCGTCTATTCATCACATACTCGGTGAGTATTCAGGAAGACTGCTGAAGCCTTAAAGTTATCAGGCTCATTGTCACTCTCTGAATATAGTCAGTCAGCTTTCAGAATTATCAGTCTGTCAGCTTTCAGAATTATCAGTCAGTACTGGACCCAATGCTTTCTACTATTTTATCCAAAACAATACAAATATAAATTTAGTTAACTTAGCCAGGTGTGGTGGCACAGGCCTTTGATCCCAACACTTGTAAGGCAGAGGCAGGTGGATCTCTTGTTTGAGGCCAGCCTGGTCTACATAGAGAGATCTAGGCCAGCTGGGGCTATAGGGAGACTGTGTCTCAAAAAGACCAAAAATAAAATAAATTCATGAAACTTACAGGTGAATTAATTTATGGATTTATTCAGTAATCCTAAATACCAGTGACCCAGGCAGGGCACCAAAAGGAATAAATCTAGGCTGCATGGGATGGCAAGCTACAGTGCAGGGTGAGGTCCAAATCCATCTTCTAAAACTAAAACAAGTTATCACAAATAATTCTACTGAAGAAAAGAGAATATGAATAGAAGCAAACAAGACTTAATTGGATACAAGCTGAAATGGCTTTGTGACCTAGCCTTTATGGTCACCTTCTTTTCTGTACTATCCCATGGCTTACCTGGATCATTCCAATTCAGTATAGATGAAAGAATACACAAGGGCTTGGATACCTAGAGACAAGAATGACCAGGAAAACAGCTCAGAGGCTGGCTACAAAAGCTCAAGAACATAAGGATTTATTTTAGATTATAAAATTTTAGTGATAAAATGACTTTCAGAAATAAAATTCCTTGGATTGGTAGATAATGAATTCCTATGATCTTCAAGTACATGAAACATTTACCAAAGATTTAAGTGCCTCCATGTCTCAGATGCTCTAATAGCTACAAAAACTTCTAGATTATTTTAGCTTCTTTTGGCTTCTTTTCGGTTGAGATAAACAGAATCCCATCTTATTTTTGTGGCCAAGCAATATGTATTCTAAATAAAGTGTGTAAGAAACAGTAATACTGAAAATATTTTTCAATTAGGAAAGATTCAAAAACATCAAATTTTGGGAAAGGAAAATCAGCATTGTATCATTCTTGTTTGTATTTACTAGCTTTTGTTCCCTATTTTTAACAGCATAACAAATAAAATTCAAGGTGAAAAAGCTTAAAAAAATAAAACGAAACAAAATAAAAAAAAGAACAGTCATAAACATGATCAAGGAATTCAACGAATTTAAAGAACACATGAACAAACAAATCAAAGAGCTAAAAGAAGATAGGGACAAACTTCTGAATGAATTCACAAAAGAGATAGAAACATTGAAGAAACATCAGGCAGAAATGAAGAAGGAAGTACAAAACTAAATAAGCTGACTTGAAACAACAGGGGAAAGCTTCTCCTCTAGAATGAATGAAATGGAAAACAGAATATCAACACTGGAGGATAAAGTTGAAGAACTGGACCACTCAAGCAAAGATTATGGAAAATTTAAAAAACACAGGAATGGAATATGCAAGAGATGTGGGACAACATGAAAAGAACAAATCTATGGATTAAAAAAAAAAAAAACAGGAATGGACTAAGCAAGAGATGTGGGGCACCATGAAAAAAACAAATCTATGTATCATAGGCATAGAGGAAGGAGAAAAATTTCAGGTTAATAGTATTGACCAGATCTTAAACAGGATTGTAGAAGAGAATTTCCCAAAAGTAAGGAAAGACATCCCCATACAAATACAGGAAGCACATAGAACACCAAATAGACAGGATCAGAAAAAAAACTCCCCATGACATATCATAGTAAAAACACTAAATGGACAGAACAAACAGAGAATCCTGAAAGCAGCAAAAGAAAAGAAGAGAGAATACCGAAAGCAGCAAAAGAAAAACAAGTCACATACAAAGGAAAAGCCATCAGAATTAGAGGTGACTTATCAATGCAAACTATGAAAGCCAGAAGAGCCTGGACCAAGGTATTTCCAGTTCTAAATGACAATACATGCCAGCCCAGAATATTTACCCAGAAAAAATGTCTATTGTAGTTGAGGGAGAAAGAAAAATTTCCATGACACAAAAAGCCTGAAAGAATACATGTCCACAAAACCACCCTTCAAAGAACACTTGAAGAAATACAAAGAGAGGAGAAAGGAATAACTATACCCCAGGGGCAACAAAAGAAAATAAATAAGGTATAATAGAGGAAACAAAATTAGAGAAGACAAACAGCTATCAAAATGACAGCAACTAATATATTATAGCTGACTTTTCAGTGCAAACTATGAAAGCCAGAATAGCCTGCACCAGAGCATCCCTGGTTCTAAATGACCACCCTGGACCAAGGTATTTCCAGTTCTACATGGCAATAGATGTCAGCCCAGAATACAATACCCAGCAAAAATGTCTATGATAGTTGAGGGGGAAAGAAAAAACTTCCATTAAATGAACAGCCTGAAAGAATACATGTCCACAAACCATCCCTTCAAAGAATACTTGAAGCAATACAGAGAGCAGAGAGAGAAACAACTATACACTAGGGGTGATGAAAGAAAATAAACAAAGGTATAATCGAGGAAACACAAAATTATACAGAGAACACAAACAGCAATCAAAATGATGGCAACCAATACACAACTTTCAATAATAACCTTAAATATCAATGGACTGAACTCCCCGGTCAAAAGACACAAGCTAAGCGAATGGACTAAGAAACAAACTCCATCTCTTTGCTATCTGCAAGAAACCCATCTTGCCTTCAAGGACAGGCACTACTTTAAGGTGAAAGGATGGAAAAGAATATTCTAAGCACTAAGAAACAAGCAGGGGTTGATGAAAAGAATATTCTAAGCAAATGGCACTAAGAAACAAGCAGGGATTGCAATATCTGACAAAATAGACTTCAAAGAAGAGATAAGAGGGCCACTTGATTCTGATCAAATGGACAGTTGACCAAAATCATGAAGATATATGCACCAAACTCTGGTGCACCCATCCTCATAAAAACAGTACTATAGGCCTTTAAGATCCAGATTAATCCCAAAATGCCAACTAATTAATAGTAGGGGATTTCAATACCCCACTGTCTCCATTAGATAGGTCAACAGGGCAGAAAGTTAACAGAGAGATATCTGAATTACCATATATCAAATGGACTTAACAGACATCTACTGAGTATTCCACCCAAGCACCTAAGGACATACTTTCTACTCAGCACCCCATGGAATCTTCTCCAAAATCAACCATATACTGGGCCACAAAACAAACCTCAACAAATACAAAAATATTGAAATAATTCCATGCATTGTATCAGACCACAAAGCAATAAAGCTCAAAATAAACACTGGATGAAGCCTTAGTCACTACACGAACTCATGGTGATTGAACAACGCACTCAAAAACAATGAGTGGGTAAAGGAGAAGTTAAGAAAGAAATAAAACAATTCCTGGAATTCAGTGAAAAGGACAATACAACACAACACAACCTCTGTGACACATTAAAAGCAGTCCTAAGAGGGAAGTTTATAGCTCTAAGTGCCTATATTAAAAAATTAGAAAAACCAATGACAACATTTACAACTCAAAACTCTGGAAAGGCAGCAGCAAATGAAACCCAAACCCAATGAGATGAGAAGAAATAGCAAAAATCAGAGCAGAAATTAATGAAATAGAAATAAAGGAAACAATACAAAGAATCAATGAATCTAAGATCTGGTCCTTTGAAAAACTAAACAAGATAGACAGACCCATAGCCCAGTTAACCAAGAGAAAGAAAGAACACATCCAAATCAACAAAATCAAAGACGAAAGGGGAAACATCACAACAGACATCCAAAAGATCCAGACCATCATAAGGGAATATTTTAAAAACATATATGCCACTAAATCTGAAATTCTAAAAGAAATGAATGGATATCTGAAATCATGGAAACCACCAAAGTTAAACCAAGAAGAGATCAGCAGTTTTAACAGACCCACAACATATAAGGAAATTGAAACAGTAATACAAAGCCTCCCAACTAAAAAAATCCCAGGCCCAGATGGATTTACAGCAGAATTCTACCAGATATTTAAAGAAGACC